CCCCCAAATAGACCCTGCAGTAGTACTGAAAAAGCTGCAGCGACTCATACCTGGGAAGTCCCCAGGTTGTGATGACATCAGGCCATCTGTTCTGAAACAGTGCGCCGAAGCTCTCTGTAGGCCCTCGTGCGACTTGTTCCGACACTCGGTGGATTCGGGGAAACTGACAAGGGAGTGGAAAGGAGCAATCCTTTCTCCGACCTTCAAGGGTAGGGATAGGCAAAATGCTACCAGTTATAGACCAGTAGCTCTACTCCCAGTGGTATCGGAAGTACTGGAAAGTATTATTGATGATCACATCAGGGAATATCTGGATAGGTCTAAAATACTCCATGGAGCCCAACACGGTTTCAGGAAAGGGAGATCCTGCGTCACTAACTTATTATCAGCTTGGGACGACTGGACATCATGCTGGGATATGAATGTTCCAGTCCATGTGATCTTTCTAGACTTTGAGAAGGCATTTGACACTGTTCACCATGACCTTCTCCTACACAAAATAAGCCAGGTAGGTTTAGGCAAACCACTTCTGTCATGGTTGAAGGACTACCTAACTGAAAGGCAATTTTGCACTAAGGTCAATCGAGTCCGATCATCTTGGCACAGCTCGTTATCAGGAGTGTTGCAGGGTTCTATCCTAGGACCACTGATGTTCTTGATTTTTATCAATGATTTACCATGCCGTCTAAACTGCCCGACTCTTCTATACGCTGATGATGTGAAGATTTGGAGGGCGATAAAGTGTCCGGAGGACTCAGATAGACTGCAGGCAGATCTAAGGCTTCTGGAAGACTGGGTGGTTGCCAGTGGCATGACTTTCAACCTGGAAGGTGCAAAGTAGTGAAGTTACGCACCTGTAGACTGCAGAATGCAAGTTACACCCTGTGCAATGAAAGCTTGTCCTGCACAACATCGGGGCGTGACTTAGGTTTAGTTCTAACGGAAAAAATGGACACAAGCGTAAATTACACGGGGGATGTAGCGAGGGCATATGCGGTCATACACTTTACACATAGACAATTAGGTGCACTCACTCCTGAGCTCTTTCTAAGGTTGTATAAAACATACGTCAGACTGCATCTTGAAGTGCATAATATCATTGCACCCCCACTGCTCAAAAGAGACGCCAACCTTTTGGAAAGAGTCCAACGACGGGCAACGAAAGGAGTGGTTGGTCTCCGAAATAAACCATATGATGAAAGGCTGAAGAAATTAGGCCTATTCACACTCAGTTACCGTCGCCTGAGGGGGGATTTAATTACTGCCTACAAAATAACAAATGATCAGAATCACTCAAACAAAGGTGTTCTGCCATTGAGTAGGTATAGGCTCTCTCGTGGAAATCCTAGAAGGATAGCTCATCAGAGGGCAAGGACCCGGATGCGCTCCCACTTCAATTCCCTGCGGGTTTGCCGTCCATGGAATTCCTTACCGGCAGATGTAGCTATGGCACCATCTGTGGACGCCTTTAAGCGAAGGCTGGACAACCATGCAGCCACACAAGGACTTCATCCAAATGGCCTATCCCCTTAAAATTGCATACACTATTCAAAGGTAGACAATTAAACTGGTCGTTTTACTTCTTTATATTCTCTTCCGTCTTACTCTCCTGACAGTTTTAACTACACCTATTATCATTATTACTATTATCATTATTACTGGTATACATATATATATATACCGGTTGACTGACTGTTGTTACGTTTTCTTATTCTTTTTCTGTTTGTTGGTCTGAATACTTTCACTAATTATATCTATTATTATCTCTTTTCTATTGACGACGATACCGAAGGACCAACTGATGAAAGGACCAACTCCATTCACAGTAGTAACAGTCCTAACACACTTCATACTACAAACCACATATAATTAATCCCTGCACTACTCCTTTTGGAGTCAACCAAAGCTACGACAGTCGAGTGACAGGACGAGCTACGCAGACGTTTACCGAAGATCAGGAACCTCTACCTCACAATCAAGAGGCGAGCACAAAGAAATCAAATTGTTTTATACTAGCTCGTAAAAACGATATTGGATATTGGAACTATTATGATCATTAGGGTGTTAACTGCACTTCAGTGTTATTTAGTTAACAGAATACTAGTTGGCTGTAGAATTCGATACTTTGGCATGATGGTCAGCGTATTTATAGTTGGAAGATTTCTTTCGCCACGGAGAGATCAAGTTCTCTAATCAGACTAATTTTCAAAATTTTTGTTTGCATCCATATATCGACCTCAGTTCACCTTGCAGAAGCACTGAAACATTTACTAATTTACTGGACTCCATCCAATCGAAGAAATGGACGCCTCAAAATCTACTACAATCCTGAAGCAGACATTTTTGGTCTTTTTGAAGATCACAGTGAAACTCCTCCTATGGAAACCAGGGAAGTGGACGGTCCACTTCACTAATGAATTTAAACTAATCAAAACTAACTGTTTAATATTAAGTAACCTATGTTGGGGACACTGCACAGGCGTGTGCCATTTTTACACCCTGTAATCACAAGATTATGAATTATTCTCCCGGAGAAATCTTCTGTTTGTTAATTGGCGAGGTGAGTCCTGACAACAAGGCCCAGTGTAACACACATTAAGTTCTGCAAGTCTTAACATTGAACATTCATTTAGATTTCAAAGGTTTTCCATTGGATATCGGATACCGGACTTAGAATCTATAGGTCGTTCACCCAAGGTCAAAGTTTGAGGTGGCGTTTCGACTGTAAGTTTACTACGGCTATGCAACGTGTTTAGTGTGTACTGCACAACATGTCAGTCTATAAATGTCGTTGTCAACACCTATTTTTAGCCATGTTGTTAATAGCTTAGATGTAGAGTCTCTGTAAGACGTTTTGAGTCGAATATATGTAAGTGCTGAAACGTTTTTATTCGGAAAGGCAAATGGGTAAAGTGGGAGAAGACCTGGGCAAAATGAACAATTTCAGTTGGTTAAGACGTTTTCAAAAACTGGGTGAAATGCAAAATCAAATATCCACTTTTTCTTCCGAATGGGAGATCTTTCCTCATTTCCACCGAAACTTTCGTCATCCACTTATTTACCACTTAACCCACGTTTCTAACGGACGAATTACGTTTTCACTCAATTTACCAGTGTACATGCAACCGTGCAGACGTAGTGTCGCTCAACAACGTAATCGATGAATCTCTAAATTTCTTTTGAATTTCAACAATCCCTAGGTAGTCCAAAAGCGTAGACTTATTTGAATGGTCGAAGTCTGTTGAAAGTGGAAATTCGAAGCCTTTTTAGGCAAAGTTAAACTATCATAGCCAGAACCACAGTGACCTTGAACGATCAAGCACAACTTAGATGCAAAAGTTTCAAAGTAGTTGAAAAATATTGCAAACTTGATATTATACTGTATATATGTAAATTATGCGTTGCAAGAGTGTCTCTCAGTCAACACGCAGATGATCTATAGGAAAATCGTACCATGCGCTATATACCCATTCATCCAGGCGACTGTAGGTAATAGTAATTTGAGATCCGTTGATATTTCTGACACTATTCTCCAGTCTACCCCTAACTCTAACCATAATATTAATTCCTGATCTTAACCTAAACCTAACTTCAATCCTAGACCCTAAACCTTAATCTTAAAGTCCAGAAGCCTATCTGGTAGTGTAGGTTTGCAGAAAAAGTACCTAGTAAATTAGTAGAATACTGTATCTATCCTCTCCAAGTCCAAAAGGTCATGGATTTGGTTTGGAATCGTATGTCATAGAATTCCCTGTATCTGATCCGTTGTTGAAGGTCAACTTTTGAAAGACCTTGATTTTAGCTATGATACTTTAAATTCACCCTTTTTTATAAGCAGATTTATATGGTGGTCACCTTAGAAAACCAGAGATTTTTTGATTACACTTTGGTTAGTTGCTGTCCTGTCAAAACGGGGAGCTTGATTCGAACTTAGTAGTACTATTTTCAGTTTTTTATTAAACACATTTGGTATCGTGTATTTACAACTTTGATAAAAATGGATAGTTACTTTATTTAGTGACGAAACTATAACTTTCAGATTCAGATCATAAGGATAGAAGGCTATTTTTGCCTATATTAATTCTTGAGATATATATCTCTGCAGAGGCCTAGTTTCTCTTTGAAAGCGTTCACCGATGGAGCTGTTACTACTGAATCAGGTAAAGGGTTCCAGTCGTTGACCACTTTGTGAGAGAATCTAAATTCCACACATATTGTTCGACCTTGGTTTGAGCACCTTCTTGTGGTGACCTCGTAAATTCATCGTAGATGAAGAGAAAAGGTTTGAAAGGTCAATCCCTAAATCATCCTTTAATATGCGGTATGCCAAAATGAAGTCGCCTTTCTTCCTCCAGTATGGTAATGGGAAGAGATTTGAATGCTCCATCCTCTTATCATAAGGAAGGTATGAGATACCACTAACTGATTTTGTTCCTACCCTCTGTACTCTTCACTTCTAATGTTAGGCAGCTAGATCTTATGGAAAAATGTGCAAAGGATACACGATCGCAATTATTGCTACTGGAATAAAATTCTTGCAAATATTCAAAAGTTGGCAGTCAGAAGACAAAAGTCTCACTGATTATTATTCATTAATACGCTAGTGCATGTATTACCACACCATCAGGAGTAACTGAATCACCCTCAGACTTTAGAAAGTGTGATTTCAATTTTTGAGGTAGCTTCACTATATTTAAGGTTGTTGATGCTTTGTGGATAACTAAAGACAGGCGTACAACCTGAATTTCTCAGATGCACACATGACATTATGACATAACATTATCCCAATACTGAATTGGGCATGAAATGCATACACGTTGATTGTATAAATATGTACTAAATGTGTACCTTTTTTCTTCTTTCTCTATTAGTCTCATGCGAGTACTTTGGTTTTAATGATTTTTTTAAAAATTGTAGATTCTTTGATACTGCAAATTCGACAGTGAATTTCAGGTTAAACATCTTGACAGTTTAAAATCACTTCAAGTGCATTCCATCAGATGAATAGTAAAAGAGCTCTTCACTTCGTTTTCAAAGTGGCCAACCGCAATGAAACAATTGATTTTTACAAAAGAGTTCTTGGGATGAAGGTATGTGTGTATTTGTACATTTAAAAGCACATCTGCAATCATTTTTGATGTGGAGCTCATTTGTTTTCCTTTCTTGGGGATATTTAGCAAGCGTATAGTTTAATTTCTGTTCAATACTCAAAGGAAAGTTATCAAAACTTCTCTGAGTGGGACTATTATTTGCCGACTAATTTTTATGTAAATGAGATTATAGGAACAATTTTTGTGTATTATTAGGAAATATTTAGTCAAGGAGATGGTTTGTTGGGTAGGTACAGTTGACTAACTATCAGATGATGGTAATTTTTGGATTATTTTAACCTGCAAGATTGTGCATACTCACGGAGAATTAACCAACCTTTCTCTTTTTCATTCGACAATTATTTGATTGCCAAATTAGATGAAATTAAGCTCACTAAACTTGGTATTCGATTGGAAATCAGTAAGCGCAAAACTCTACTCGCTAAGCAAGCATCTGAATAAGTTAGTTCGAACTGAGTTACCAAACAGATCAGTGAGCCATACGCTCCACTAAAACCTCTGGCCTTAGTGCAGTCATATACCATACAAATCTCATTATACGTAAAAGACATAACCATACGGTCACTCACTATCCAAAGTCTCTTGGTAGATCTGGCTACATGAAGTTGCTAGGACACTGAGATAAATTGAACTGAATTATCAGGGTAGGACTTTGACTGACTGCCTGGTTTCAACATAGAACCTTGCACCGATGTGCATCAGTTCGAGTCGCCACACTTCACTCAGCACACAAAGAAGAAGAAAGTAAAAAGAAATGCAAAATAGAGACAGTAAACAGAAATATCAGGCAAAGAGAATAGTAGTATCGAAGACCAATATAGTTTTATTGGATATTATAAGTCACAAGGAGTGGATGCATCTGCGCTAGGCGTTGAGAACGATTTTGAGCCATATCACCAATTGTCTCCAGCCACTGGTGTTTACCGTCAGTTGATCAGTACTAAACGGGTCTTTTATATCGGTGCTGTAATGTTGTCAGAAATCAGTTCAACTTCCCGCATAAATAGAATTATTACTCTGCACCCGGTAAACGAGGATTCTATGCAGACTAGTCCTTCAACGTCGTCTTACATATGACATGAATGAGTCGCATGCTAATACTAAGATTCTTGCTCGAAGTGGTCAGACGGCAGTACTTACTGTAGGTCGATAAGAGGCTTCTTTGATAACAGATTATTATGCAGACAGTTTACACCTTCCTATATAGTTCAAACCAACAGTGAAAGACATGATGTATCAGTACCGTGTTTGAGTTTGACTAACCCTAACTGTTGCAAGCCATCACTATCTTTGATAACTTCACTATAGGACACTTCATCTACCTAATTGCTGTTCAGCTTAGTTATCTATGTCATTATTGTTACAGGTGTTACGACACGAAGAATTCAGCGAAGGTTGTAAAGCATCCTGTAACGGGTAATTAGATCAATTTTAGTGTTATTATCAAATATACTTAGACCTTATGATGGAAAATGGAGTAAAACTATGATAGGCTATGGTGCTGAAGACAATCATTTTGTTATTGAGTTGACCTACAACTATGGCGTCGGTGGTTATCAACTTGGGAATGATTTTCAAGTGAGTTATTTCATAATAATTCTTTTGTTTTACTAACCTTCAATAGTATATTCGCATTCATAACAAGGCAGCTTATTCAAGAATAATCGATGGATCATGGCCGATTACAGCAAAAGAATCAGATAGTGTCAGAGTTGAAGCACCCGGTGGTTATACTTATTGCGTGCATAACTGTGATAGTGATGGTGATCCCGTTCGAATGGTGGCGTTAGCTAGTTCAAATCTTCAACGTTCTATCGGTATGTGTTGTTTCATTGTGTAGATATATTCTTTACTCTCTATAATACAATAATGTGAACAGATTATTGGGCCGGTAAACTTGGCATGACCGTAGTATCATCCAGTGGAGAGGAAGCTGTATTCTGCTATTCACCGAATCAATGTCACTTAAAGCTGATTTCTATTCACAAGGCTGTAGATCATGCTAGCGCATTCGGTCGTATCGCTTTTGCTTGTCCAAGTAGTCAGGTAAGTTTGTCATTTTGAAGTGTTATTTGAATTTATTATTTATTTTTTTTATAGTTACCAGTTTTACAAAATGTAATGGATGCACAGAAAGAGACAATTCTTACGCGTTTGGTGAGTTTGGATACACCAGGCAAAGCTACAGTACAAGTGATTATTCTTGCAGATCCAGTAAGTCTTATGTGTCGATCACCATGTCATAAGTGTGCGACAGCTTTTATTGTCCTTACATTATTTATCATTGTTATTCCTTTGGATGCCTACTGGTATATAGAGCTTCAGCACCACATCTGAACTTCATCATGTTCTCTACAGTCCTCTTTGGCCGACCGGACAAGTGACCATAAGCTGTCATCCCTTCCTCACACGATCTTCTCCATGTCACCGTAGGACACCCAACTTGATGTTTCCCCCTTTTGGGTTCCATTCGAGCGATAACCTGGCACGTGATGTTACCAAGCAATTTCCTCTGTGTGTATTCGCTCCAGCTCCATTTTCCTCAGCATATTTGTTGGGTAATCTGTTCTTGTTGCCAATCCTTACTGGCAGTCTGATTATCAGTAGATAAAAGTTAAGCCTGTTCGAAATGTTCCAGGACCCGGTTGACCCAATTAGACAAAATAATATAATCTACAAAATACCTTGCAATGACTGCGAGTGGGGTCGACTACATAAGTCCTAATGATTTCTAAGAAAGTGTTCTGTCTTACCTACTACATTAAGAAACTTAGACAATCTGGAATCACCCAACCTCTACTTTCACAATTTGTCAACTCTCTTATCTTACCTATTCTACTTTACTGCTCCCCGTTAGTCTTTCCTGGGCTACTGAAAAAGGACTATGCCATCCTGAGAAGGATGTTGAAGGTAGTCAGTAGGACTAGTGGTGTAAAACTCAGTCAGCTCGTCACTACTTTAGTTGATAGGCATCTGAATACATGCGAAAAATGGTCAAAAACCATACTCTCCGACCCCCAACACCCCCTCTATTCCCAACTCTCGCCTTGTATCTCATCAAGTAGAACCAGAAATCAGTATAAAATAATCTATGCTCGTACAACCAAGTACAGGAACTCAACGATACCATACTTGGCCCGTGTTCTAAGCGACAGAGACAATGTTAAGCGTGAAACCTATGACTTGCTCTATTATCAGCAACATAATTTTAGGCTCTTTTATTTCTCTCTTATTTTGTATACTATAGTGAACTCCTTCTCAAACATACTTAGCTACCTAAAATATTAACATTAGCTTCCTTTTTGTATTTTACTATATTCCTTCTATTGTGTATCCATTGGTTCCGACTCTATTAGCACTATGAGTATTACAAGATTGTCCTGTCATTAACCATCATGTAAATTAGTTTTGTGGCTGTTTTTTCTTATTTTCTATACTTTTCGGCAATATTAAACTGACAATCATTGGTTGTGAACGCCATAGTCACCACCTTAAAAAAATTTTGTATTATTCAAGATTACTCACACTACCACCACAAACACTGCATTAGACTTTGGTAGACTTTTGTACTTTTTCGCATTTATAATTATTTTGTGTTTATCCTGTTTTTTTTGCTGTTGGTGTCTTCAGATTTATTTTTTTGTTTGTTTAATACTTATTTTAAATGTCTGTAAAATTAGATGCAAATATTGTAGATATGTGCTGAAAATTCCACACTGTACCACTAGTACTGTTTCTGGAATAAAGCAAATTATTATTATTATTAAAAAAAAGTCAAACTAGTAGGTCGGGGGGTAGTCAAACTGTTGGAACATAAGAATTTTTCTAGTGTTAGAATGGTTGACCCCGCGAAGATAAGTAATTTAGAAGAAAGCTCAGCGATTGCACTGCATGCGTTAACACACAACCACACAATTGCATGGTGAGATAGGGTTAAAATTCTAAGAAGTAATCTAGGTAGGTGGAGAGAGGTTGATTACTGAATCCTTGTTCATTGAGTCTACACCCAACACATACAATAGGAATGACTTATCACTCATACCTGAAATATTGAAAATACTACTACTAATCAAGTCAAGCGATGAAAAATAATGGAATTATATAAACGAAGTTAGAAAGTTGTGTGAGTATCCTGATATAATTATGAGCAGTAATAAATTGTGCTCGAAACATGATCATCAGTAAATATTACTGTACAACGCTGTGAGAGACTTCATCAAAAATAAATTTGAGCCTGAATAGCTCAGTGGTAACGTCTCTGACTGCAGCACTGGTTGACGCGGGTTCGAATTCCAGAAGGGACACATGTCCCTTGAAGGTTGCAGATATGCCTTGCTGACTAGTGAGTGCCAACTAGCACGAAACTTAGGTGGAAGGCTTCCTGCCGATTGCCTCCACCCGTCTAATAGCATCATCTGTCGGCGTAACCATCTAAGAAACGTTCGTGTGTTATATAAATATTTTTCATTTTCTTTTTATTGCACCTAGGATGGTCATGAAATCTGTTTTGTCGGCGATGAAGCATTCAGACAACTATCTCAGATTGATCCAAAAGCGGATAGTTTACTTCAATCGGCAATAAATGCTGATAAAAGTGATGAATGGTTCAAGAAACACGGAGGGAAGACAACAAAGTAGTAGAAGTGGTGACTTTTTTTATTTCTCGGCTGATTGTTGTAATGATCTTGCACGCGCATGATTTTGTTCTGTATTAGAAGTGGTGGTATTATTATTATTTGTTTTTCCCTCTGATAACTGTGATTATTGATTCATTTTGTTGATCATCCCGAGTATTTTGTATACTTTTTCTCATTGGGAAATATAGTTTCGTATGCACAGTTTTTGATTGGTTCTTCACATTGCCAATGAAATAAGACTTTATTTGAAGGGTGCTTTACACCAAAAAAGGTTAGATGAAAAAAAATTTGGTTGGAGGCAGTCAGGAGGGAGCCTTAGGTCTAGGTTTCGTGCTTCCTATCACCTATTATCAAGACATATCTACAACCTTGGAGAAATTCACGTCCCTTTAAGGTTTCGAACACAAAACTAAACGCATAACATTGATTATACCTCAGTAACCAGTGGATGTATCTAATACAGTCCTAAAGATGGTCATTGCGAGTTCGAATAACTAAATGGTAACGTCTGTGATCCACAACGGAAAACTCAGCGAGGCGTTTGGAGTGAATAGAGGAGTAAGACAAGCTGGCTGCCTATTATCACCGACGATGATATTCTTAATTGTGGTGGAGTGGATTATGCGTCAGACTGTTGGGGGTGATGAGTCAGGAATACGCTGGACGACCGATAAGAAGACACTAGAAGATCTGGATTTCGCAAATGATATATATCTAATGTCATACAAACTCGAAGACTTGCAAGCAGAAACCAACAAACTGGCTGAAGAGGTGAGATAGGCAGCGAAAACAGGACTGCAGGTGAACACAGAGAAGACGGAGGTGATGGAGATAACCAACGAACCGCAGCAACAGCAACAACAACCAGCACCAGTCACCATCAATGGGAGAGATTTGACAGAGGTTGCCTCCTTCACTTATCTGGCTAGGAAGCATCGTTTCAACTACAGGCCAGCGGAACGGACAAAGATGTCAAAGTCAGTTAGAATCGGAAAGGCAAGATACGCCTTCACCAACCAGAAAGCAGTTTGGAAATCTTCTGCAATAACTCAGCAGCAACAACAAGATTCGGATTTTCAACACAAATTTCAAGTCAGTCGGTTCTTGTATATGAACCAGAAACTTGGCCAGAGTGTCACGGAAAGGATTTCCAACAAGTAACACTCTTTTATCAACAGCTACCCCCGTCGCTGGCTCCATACTGAAGATCAAATGGCCAACCAGAAAGAATTAGCGATAAAAAATTCTGGCTAGCAACAAACCAACCAAGAGTCGACTGCTCAATAAAAGTGTAGGAGAAAATGGATATGCACTGATTCAGCATACGTTGGGGAGGCCATCGAATGACGTCGCGCGCAATGCAGGCCATCGCTCGAGTGGAATCCCAATGGGAAGCGACGAGTGGGTCGTCGGTGAGAGGGTGATATGGAGGAGATTGCGAGGCGGAGGAGATGAGAGAGTATTAGCAAACGTGGGGCAACTTAAGAGGAACGCAGAAAACAGAACAAAGTGGAGATGTGTTGTTGGAACGCAAGCGAATAATAATAATAATGAAACGTCTGTGACTTAAGCATTAGGTGGCCTGGTTTCGAATCTCAGAGGGGAAATGAGTTCCTTTAAGATTGCAGTTACACCTTGCTGACTGGGGGTGCTAACAAGCACGAAATCTAGGTCAGTCAGGGCTTCCTGCCGATTACCTCCAGCTATCTAACAATGTCATCTTTCCTCACACATCACTTGTACGGAGTAATTTCATATACAAATGGAAGTAATTTAAAGCGTAGTCATTACACCGCTTCACTAATCAGACAGGATTTTATAATGTTGGAGAATACTTTTCGATATTAGCAGTTTTCTCCGAGTTGGTTCTATTTGGGTCAGGGTTTTCATTGACATTGTAGTCATCATTTTTCTTGAAAGTTGGTGGTTATCTTCTGAGTACTGATAAAGATTTACCTGTCCTTGGAGTAACGTAACTGAAACATAATTCCACTAGCCAAGCTCGTTATTGTCGACTTAATTTTTCAGCGCATGAAATGAAAATAGTCATTTTTCAATAAATAAAGTTATTCGTTATTCTCAGCCACAGTCAACGTAAATGGTCAGTTATTTGATCTGTAGTGGGTGCACATTTCGTTGTATTTTGGACTCGTTAGTCGACTGTACATGTATCCTCACTGAGTGACAATGTTTTCACAGGGTCTCAAACCCACCACCGATTATTAATTATCAGTTACTAATAAATGGGTGCGTCGGTGGTATGGCGGTTAGGACGCTCGCCGACCATGCACATGGTCCGGGGTTCGATCCCCGGCCACAGACGCACTCCTTTACCTCACTAAGCCAGAAATAAAAGCTGATAAAGAGGAAAGGTTTGACATGAGGCTAGCAACCCCATCCTGTAAAAATAATCACCACTGCTACAGAAACTTCAAGCCTCTCACTTGAAGCCCGATGTTCCACTGAGAACGTGGAGGAATAAAAAAACTTCTGAATGAATGTCAGAATTAAAGGCTAAACAGCTCTGCTGGTTAACATTGATTGATTGATTCTCCAATATACAATGCAGTCGTGTATAAAAAGTGAATTATGGCTCCCCCAGTAACATGCTGATAAAGTTTCTAACTTTGTTACAGACTAGTGGAATTTTGATAGTGTGGTGTTACATGAATTTTCATGGATAATCCCCATCCAGGCATTAATGAAAACAAAACACGTAGATCAGCGAAGAGTCTCTTTTCGGCGAATTCATTTTCTTAGCTGTACAATCGCAAATATATATGTGTCATTTTGTATGTATGTGTACATTAAGTTTGTCAAACAAAATTACAATTGGTTATGGTTATTTTAACTAAACAGGTGAATATTAGTAATACAAGTCAAGAAAAATTAGGTGTTAATGAAATTAGGTAAGTAACAAAGGTGATGAGTTGTCATAAACAGTTGTTAAAAGAAGTTATGTAATAATATGAATAGTTTGATGATTGAGTTTTACTCAGGATACACATAGGAATAAAGTAGAGAATACGAAACCACGTAAGGGTTCTAAATGAATACTAGAATTATAGGCAATTAGAGGAGAGGCAAACAAACAAAATTAAGTCATCAAAATCAACAAAGTTGTTACCATGATAATATAAGTGGTTGAGTAATTCTCTTTTGTATGCAAAACTCCGGTGTTTCTATGTGAATGGAGGATATCCATTCTCTATGAGGACTTGTCTGAGTCGTCCCAGTTCCCCATCGATTGTATCACTGGAACATGTCCTTCGTATTCTTGAGGATAAGGAGTGGATCAGGTTTCGCTGAAAATTCCATGCTGTAAATTGTTATTGTTGTGGAATAAAGTGATTATTATTATTTCTCTTTCTTCTCAAAAGAACCCAACTATGGAAATTTGTGTACTTACCATTCCATGTTGGTTTCCTGTAGATCGATCTTTGAAGAGAACCATCAGATCTCATTTTTAGAAAAACATCCAAAATATGGAATTCCGTGTTCATTCCGACGTGAACTGGATGGCATAATGGCAGCTGTTGAACTCTTTAGTTATCAATTCGATGTCGGTATTGTCGTCACATATGATGAGAGTATCATCCATGTATCTTTGGTACAAATGGAAACTTTCGATAGTAGGCCATAACCTCTTCACTAGTCGTTCGCTGTAAAAAAATCTTAATTTTCAATTCTACTTTTAGTCAGCTTTTACTTTAATGATTAATTTATTATTATCACTATCACTTGTTCCTTTTGTACATTTTCACATCCTCTTCACACTTGTTAAATTGACAGTAAACTAACTTTATTCTCACTCAATAGCAATTTTAACCTTATCAAATTTCTATCTTTATGCCGTCGAGTACCACATAATTTACAACTTTTAATTTTTACTTCTAAAGTCACCTCTGAGTAATTATATCAATTATGTCACCCTCTATTACTCAGTAATAGACCACTATAAATTTTCGGTAAATATGGATACCACTGTACAGCCTCGGAAGATGATTTCGTCGACAAAGAAAAATACGGATTCAGTTTTAATGTATTTAGCACAACAGAGTACGCTAAATATCATACCTATTTCGATTATACTTTGAATTTCGAACAGTTTATCTTTTCCTTCTACAATTAGTAGCACTGTTTCATAGACAGAATTACTGTGAAACTTTGAATTCACTTTTTTCCTTGCTATTCAAACCGATTTTCCGTGGCTCACAGAATCGGTTCGTCTTGGAAAGCATTTCCAACAGACTATTGCACGGTTTCATCAACAGCACCCGCTTTCGCTGGTTACTCAAGGCCAGATATTCAGAAAGGATAAGCAACACAAATAACTCTAGGAACCAACCAACCAAGAACCTATCACCCAAGAAATATGCAGAAGGAAATGGAGATAGATGGAACACGAGTTGAGGAGACCGTTGTGTGGCATTGCACGTCAGCCCCTCGAGTGGAAATCGAATGGAAATCGACTATCTGGGATGGATTCGAGAGTGATATGGAGGAGATTATGTGAGGAAGGGATGGAAGCCTATGACGCAGTCGTACAGCCAGGAAAAGAGGACTTCAGAGAACCGGATAAAGTGAAGATATGCCGGTGAAGCCCTGTGTTCCACTTGGAACACAAGGGAATAATGGCATAATGTAACAGTGTGGTGAGAGCTGTCTGCAAGCCAAAATTGTAGACTACAGCTTACACCAATGGTTACGTCCCGAATCGGGGTCATGAGAAAAAACCAACCAATCACAGGACAAATACGATTCGCATGGCTTAACTTTTTAAGAAGTGGTTACAAGCAGTACAGAATAACCTTCAGCAAGAAAAGAACCAATCAGAAGACGTTGCTTCACTGCTAACAATAACGCTAATAATAATCTATATAAAAATCTATAAATATCTGTTGATTTTCTCAACAAACGATCTGTTGCCTGTCCCTTGTCTTCTATCGTTACAACAATAATAATCTGAGTTTCAAATTTTCAGGAGAGAAAAAGAGAACCACCGTTACTTAATGACATAATTCACTAAAATATCTTCAAAAATGATGCTGATTTATTCAAGCCTTTCGTG